GGAGAGTGGCATGCAATGCATAGAGATAATAGGAGCACACATGTATCGGTGGTTTTAGGACCTCATCATAACTGACCTCCTCTCCATTATCCAATGTCACTCTAAATAGAGGCCGAATCCTTGACTCGGCATCTCTTAACACTTCCATCTTATACATCATATGAACATTTGGATCTGAAACCCACAAAGTCAAAACCAAAACCAAAAAAGAGATTAAGTCAGGGAACTAATAAAATCAAGATGATTAAGAAAATGAAAAAGAATAATCTCAAAAAATGAGTTCATTGTGGCATAAAAGATGCAATAAACATAGTAAAAGATGCAATAAACATATGTCCCACAAGATATTTGAAAAAATAACACCTTTTATCGAAGTAAATTTCCTCAGGGCAGTATACCCTTCAGGCCAGATGAATCTGTCATCTTGGAAATGTTCTGAGTCCTTGACAATCTTTCCTGTGAGGACAATGTACAAGTCTATGAGTGTAAATGAATGGCTGCAACAATATAAACTAATTGCATATTAATACCCAGCCTCCGCAATTAAGTTGCAGTATGAGGCTGCAGGTACTGTGTTGCCATCAAGAAGAAAAAGGTGGTGAAATGCACAAAACATGTTCAGTCATGTCTTAGATAAAACAAAACACAAGAAGCAAATTCCAAAAGCTGAAACTTACCAAGGCTTATTATTTGCAAATCCCCAATTACATAAGGAGAAGTACCCAGCCTAGCCAATATCCTTCGAATTCCTCCATCTTGCATGCAATCTTCTCCTGAATCTGTACTCCCTTCATCCTCACTACTCGCACTCTCACAGCTATCAGCTTTCATGCCATTTTGCAGCTGCAGCATTCTTCTAGGAAGCTTTTGTTCACTGAGATACCTGGTCAAAACAAAATGAACACAGCATCAAGATCCCAACAGTCCATGTCATATTTTAAGTATTCTCACAGTTTTCCAACTCTTATGATTGAAAGAACTGCACTGTATAGCTGCTCCACAGTGAGTCTGTCCAGTGAAACTTCAGGTAAGAAATAGATAACAAGAAGGTAAAGTAACAATGAAAGTGAAGCCTATCAGCAAAAAGAACTAATTGTGCAGGTACAGAATATTGGTAACCAACTCCAGAGCCTGAGCATCATCAAGCCTTTAGGACAAATTCCAAGGATTCTCAACATAGAAAGTAATTCAATTGTGAAGTCACTGAAAGGCTGCGTCAGAAGCGTTATTGGCACATGCAACCCATTTCCTAGGTTTCAAAACAATAATGCAGGCTTTATTACAAGAAGACAAGCACAAGATGGTATGGTCCCTAATATAGTAATCTTCGCCAACTCAACAAGTGATGAAAGCATGCTATATTGATAAATTGACAACAGAAATTAGTGACAATCCCTATACATCAAGAGGGATTCGCAGGGGCATGATCACAAATCTGATTAAATAACAAGAACTCAAGCGTGGAACACCGCTCTCTCATGCAACTTCAACGAACTGAACCCTTAAAATCAACCTTACATTTTCGCTTCTTCCAAGCTTCGAGTGAAACGAGGTTGCTTGCACTTTAGGTGGAAAGAAGAAAGAAGTCCTTTGAGAAATGAGATTGCCTGCTTTGGTTTAATTCTGATAATAGAAAGATAAAATACAAAGTCAGCCTCCAGGAAAAATAGATGTCCTACATATTGGGGAGTGATTGACTGCACAAAAAAACTCCAACTTGTAAGAACAACAAACCTTGCAAAATCATGGGTACCAAAAAATTGCACAGATACTGATCTTCCTCCAATATTTTTGCTTAAGCCTTTATGATTGCCAATAAGTGCTTCATCTACAACAATTGCTGGCCACATAGCATGACCTGCACTAGAACAATTAAAAGATATAGTTGGTGTAAAACCAAAAGGGTAAATTTATCTTTCTAATGTGTTACACAAAATGCTTTCTTTGAAACCCTAGAAAACTAGCACAATATAGTGTATGTGCTGCTGGGTGCAACAGTTTGCATGTTACAATGCCTGCCTTTACTGTGCTCACATTCAATCTATCAAAGAGATTACCGCTAACTCAAGTTTTAAATAATTAATTGATGATAGCACTTGCATGTGCATAATGACAGAAACTGCCTAGGCATGAGGATAGGAATCAAATAAGTGCAAAAGATCCTTTCCACCAAAATCCTGGTTCATTAATGCATAGGCAAACAAGACCATCCAAACACATACAAAATAGGCTTGATACAAGTTCTTAACAGAATCATTGATTTTGTTTCCTTTTCTTTTTGTTTAAATTACCCGGTAAACCTTTTTTTTTAATGCCCTCGATCTGTGTGCCGGTAAATGACCATACATTCAATCAATAGTCTTTCTAATCCAGCACATTGGATTTCCTTGACCCTGAAACTATAAAGCATTATTTAGTCAAGATTAGCATGTTGGAAGAAGTAAAAATATGTTTGCAAAAGCATACACAAGAATCAGTTTGGTCATAAGGCCTCAAAGCCTAATCTCAAGAAAAAGGATAAGGTTTTAGCTCGCATTCATATCTTTTGTTACCAAGCCTTGATATTTCAAAGCATCTCTGAGATATCTTCAGGTTTTTTATGGTTAATGTCAGTGGTGCAAATAGTGAAAATATATAGAACGAGGACAAAGACAAAAGCCAAGAAATTTGATGCAGACCAGTGACTTTGGCCCATACAATATCCCCAGGGTCGAGATCTTGGCAGTCATCCAAACTGGCAGCTAACACAACCATCTCATTGTAATCATATCTATCACCATCTGTACTTTTTACAGAGACAGTCAGGTTCAACCGCTCCATTTCCTCATGAGAAATAAAAAATTTTACTTTCTCGTTTGAAATTATTAAGTCCTCTTTATCTCCATCTTCATATTCAATCTGCATTCAGTTCATCTCCCATCAATAATAGTACCCCATTGTATCCTTTGAATTCTAAAGCTGTTTGAAATTTTGAATAAAATATAAATTGGGCATCAAGCCATACATTGTATCGATTGGTATCTGCGATGTGCCCAACAACACGTCCAGAATACCATTCAGCATCCATTGGCCAGTAAACCTGTAAAAATCAGCTTTATCATGCATATAACAAAAAGGTAAAGAGAGATGGAAATAATCTCACGAATTCAAGAGAAGTAAAGCATATGCTTGCCTTGCATGGTAACCCAATGAATGATTTAGGATCAACACCATCAAAACTCAACCTATTGAACACAGAATTTACACCCATTAAACAAAAACTGACATGAATATGCAGAAACCAGCTGTATGCCAATGCATAAGGTCAAATGTGATTAAAATTCATGCTACATTGTCTCAGCACCTAAAATGCAGCTTATAAAGATTAAAAACTTTACCGAAAAAAATCAAATTCCACCACTCTAATAACTGAAAGAACTACTTTCGTCAGTAATGTTCAATAAAATCCATCTCTATTATTACAGTAGGAGAGAAACCCACCTGACCCATTTTTTACTAGTAGCTGGAAGGGCCGAAAATTTATCAGAACTCGTAACCATAGAGTCACGTTTCTTTCTCTTGAAATCCCCAATCTTACTATTACTGTTGTTAGTATTATTACGGCAATCCCTCAATCGAGGCCTATCAAACCCTAGCAAAATATTAGAATCGACACCCAATTTCAGCAACTCCTTACTCCCCGTCCTTCTCCTCTTCTTCTCCTTGTTCAACTCGATCATCGACTCCTCCTCATATTCACAAAAGTCGCTCTTCACCGCCTCCTTGGGCTCAGCGGCGCGTGAAACCAACGAATCAAAAAAGGAAGGTCGGGGGGGCCGTTTTGGACGGCGAGAGTAAACGTGGAGTAAAGAAGGGGGGTGGTCGCCCCGTGGATGGTGAAGTTGGTGGTGGTGGTGGTGGGTTAAGAGCTTCCGGGCTTTAACTTTCTTAGACATAACGTTGGATGATCCACAGAGAGATGCGGCAGAGTAGACACGGTCCAACGACACGTAGCGTATCGGGGTGCCCCCGGCTTCACCTTCTTCGAAATCGAGAGGAGATTTGTGGATTTTATCGACTGTGTGGGGTTTGTGGAGAAGTGCCATGAATGGGTGAGGTAGTGAGAGAGAGAAGCTGACCTGTCTCGAAATTGGGGAAGGAGAGAGGGAGGGTTAGGGTTTAAGGATTTGGATTTGGAGGGAGGGAGAGATTTTCCCAAATTATCAGTTTCCCGCCCGCCGTGTCAAAAATAGGAGAGAGAGGGCTCCTGAAAGCAAGGGTGCCCCGATACTCTATCTATCCTCGTGTTAATTTTCTTAACGTTTTTTTCTCTTTTTGGTGACTGGGACTGGGAGGGCGAGGATTTTACAAAAGTACTTCGCACGTGCCAAACATTATGTTATAAGAAACTGCTGATGTGATGGCAAGATAGACTTAACAATTTCCGTGATGGGCTCCCCCGGCTTACCTGATAACGACCCAAAAACATTATATTTTGATTTTTCTATCATTTAGTCCCTTGTTTTTTGAAAAATTACGGTTTTGCTTCCTTCCATTAGTCCTATTTGTTTATTGATACAAATTATGAGGACACGCGCACCTGAGAAAATATGATATTGGCACTTTTACTTTTCTTTTTTTTCATTCAAAAGGTCACTTTGGTAATGAGGTAGCTTTCACTTTTTTAAAGTGTGTTTGCTTGAAAAACATCAGTTTGATTTTATTAGTGTTTTTGGATGTATTAATATTAAAAATAAAAAATAAATTATTTTAATATATTTTTAAATAAAATATTTTAAAAAAATATCATATACCACACCAAACCAAACATGACTTAAAAATCATGATGAAGTGGTGAAAACTCATGTCTGTGAAATGATTATTCTTATAACTCAACATACAAATTAATCTATTAATACCTTAATATTCATAAAAAAAAAATTCATAAAAAAAATTATTTTAGACCGAACTAGTTTTTACTAATTATTTAAGTTGTATACCCTTCATATTGCCCAATAACATTGGATCAGTCCCTGATTTTAAAAAAATCTACTAAAAAGACATTAGCAATGTCTACTAGATTTAAGAGTCTTTACTATAGCTAGTTCGGTGGGGTAAATCCCACATGCATCAAACATTTCTATATTATATAGCTAGGGCATTAACTACGCTAATTTACAGACGAGCAGCAAACAAATTGTGCCCAGTATGGTCTTCCCTTGACTTTCCTCTTCTCTCTCTTAATATCTGCAGGGTACCTTGCTGGAGAACTCCATGCGTTCTCTTCCTCCTTGGCAGGCTCCCCTACAGGTTCTTGGGGAGCCAGAATGGAGCTCACTGTTTTAGGCAAAGCACCGTTATCTTTAGCTGCAGGGCCATCTTTTTCAACTGGGATTTCCTTAGCATTTAGTTTCTTGGATTTGGTTTCCATGCTTGCCTCGCCCAAAAGGCTCTTCAAAGGAGCATGTTGTGGGCTCCTCAGAGAAGGGCATTGATCCCCGGTGCTCCAGTTTGTGACCTTGGCAATAATCTCTTCATTCTTCTTTCTCCCCTGTGACTCATTCAAAACATTGGTGATGGAAGGAAACCAACCAGCTTGTACAGAAGCAGCTTTTGGCTGTTGCGGGTCCTGTGTTGTCTGGCTTTCAAATGAAGCACCTTTCTGGTTAACCACATCTCTAGGTTCAACCAGTGTCATGAATGATGGGGGATCAAAAATATCTGATTTATCAGCATGTTCTGTCTCAGAAGCAGCTATCGGCTTCTTCAAGGTGGCTTTCTCTGCTTCTGATAATGCTTGGGAACCATTTGATGGCAAAGGCTCAGCATCAAGAATAGCCGGTATATCCGATATGGTAGAAAGCACTGGATTAGAAACAACAAAATGGATTGAATTAATGGAAAAGTGACAAACCTTGTTCTGTAAAGGTGTCAAAATAAAATAGTAGGCGTCATGGAAAGGATGGTTTTCAAACGAGCTGACAACACATGTAACCAATCAAGAATAAGCAGTAAAATGACAAGAATTTGGGTTGCTTAAAGTTTTGTTTGGAACATATGCAACCAGTGTGTTTTTGAGCATCGTTTAAAACACCAATTGAAGTTCAATAATCTAAGGAGATTTATACAACACTTCGTATTATGCAAATGCAAGATATGATGGGGCTTTGGGTCCCAGTTAGCCTCTACACGTCACACCTACAAAAAATATAATGACATCAAAAGTAGTAGTAAATCCGGAATTAAATTTTCATTGCAAGCGTACCTGAAACGGAACCCCAGTGACCTTCCAAACTATCAGTTTGGCTAATTGAATCAACTGAAAAGTCAGTAGCAGATGCAACAACCTGTTGTGCAACTAAGTTATTATCACCTTCATGAGGCAAAGACTCAGTTGTGTTCCCAGATGCAACTCCGAGAACATCTATGGCCAGATTATCTGCAACAGGGGAAGAATTTTGAAGGGAAGATGAAGGTTCTGAAGGAGAAACTAGAGGCTCCCTCGCCATTTTGTCTTCAGAAGACTTCCATAATACCTCAGCATCTCCACCACTATCTGATTCAGCAGCTGCACTAACTTCACCAGCACGCTCAACTTGTTGATTGGCCATACCATTGCTTTCAGGTTCCTTTCTGCTTTCCTGAGGATCCAAATCTCCACCTATATCCGTGTGTTCATGTTGTGGCAACTTGCCCTCACACACATTAATATCATTCTCTGAGATAAAACAGGATTCGACATTGACAGCAGATTCAGGTGTTGTTTTTGGGCCCCTCAAGAGATTTTCCTCCCCCAATCCTGAAACAGAATCACCTTCAGTTACAATTTCAGACACATTGCATCTTTCTATTTTACCCTCTTCAAGACCAGCAGATTTGACATCTCCAAGTACGTTGTTCCTTTGATCAGCTTGTTCAGAGGGAATACTAGCAAGTTGTGGCAACTTTCCCTCACACACATTAATATCATTCTCCAAGGTAAAACAGGATTCGACATTTACAGCAGATTCAGGTGTTGTTTTTGGCTCCCTCAAGAGATTTTCCTCCCCCAATCCAGATACAGAATCACCTTCTGTTACAATTTCAGACACATTGCATCTTTCTATCTTACCCTCTTCAAGACCAGCAGCTTTGACATCTCCAAGTTCGCTGTTCCTTTGATCAGCTTGCTCAGAGGAAATACTAGCATGTTTAGAAGTTGGTATCCTGTTTTCTGCAAAACTCTCCTTTGCATTTCTTTTGTTTTTGTCATTTTCTCCTACTTCAGAACTTTCAATTTTATCCTTTTCATCATTACCAGTATCATCCATGCCAATTAAGTTTGTCCGCCTGACTTCAGCATCCATTGGCACAACCACAGTGTTAGTATCAGATATGACTTTTGTAGCATGCTCTACAGAACTCGTCAGAGATGAAGTTTCACAATGATCACGAGGTACATCTTCTACAGTAGAGTGAACAGAAATGCTCTTCTCCAAGTCACCTGTCACAACATCTGTTACACTAACTTCTGATCTCTGGGCCACATCAGCTTCTGCTTCATCAGGCAATTCTTCAACAATATGCTGGCTGGTCCCATCTTTTGGTTCAAGGTTATCATTCAAAACATGCATATTGGATGCAGAGACTTTGGTGTCCTCAGTCAATGGCTTTGAGTTAAAACCCTGAGGATTGTTCTCAAGGTCAGAATCCTTAACATTGTTAGATACTTCAAACGAATCCATGTTCACAGGCTGGGGCAATTTCCATCCTTCAAGGTCTTTAAAACCTTTAACCATGTTCTCAGCATCAGCAACTACAGTTATGTCATTGGGAAGTATAAGCACATGCATATTTCCATTTCCTTCTCCCTTATTATCATAACTCACAGCTGAATTTACATAAACAGCAGAGTCGATTTCTTGAGTATCCCCCTCGATCTGAGCAGTGGAAATAGAAGAATGCGCAGGTTCAACCAAATTAACTTCAGGGGAGAGATCATTTAAAGACATTCCAGAGGCTAAATCATCAGTGTAGCCTCCTTCCTTCAATTGAAGGACTTCTGCAGCAGGCACAGGCTGTGAAGTTACATCCTCCATCTTCTGTGACTCAGATGCCACCTCAGATGCATCCTCTGCATTGTCATCGGTTGAAACCACTACATCCAGTAGCTGTTTATCTAATTTAGTTTCTTCATTTCCTTTTGCATCAGTATCTGGCAAATCCTCGACAGTGCCACTCTTCTTATTCTCTTGTGATGCATCTGTTTGTGTTTCAGGTTTGATGGGGATTGAGTCCCATGCAGAACTTCCGTTATCATGGCTATGCTCAAAGTCAGATTCTTCACCTCTACAATCTGTTAAAGATCTGGTCGTGGAGGCAATGGTAGCATTCGAGCCATGATCTAGGGAGGACTCTTGAGCACTTCCCGGCAGATTAGTTACTGGAACTTCAGTACTTTGCATTTGGATGTGGTCAGCTGAATTGCTTGGAGGTGGACTGATAACTGCATTGTTCCATAAAGTAACAATCAAAAAAACATGCTTACTGGATATAAAATGTAACAATCTTAAATCCACAAAATCTATCCCCTCATTTTCTGGGAGGGAAGTATTGTGAGTCTATTGGTAAGTGACTACAGGATCTGAATCAACGCACATGGAATTACTTGTGCACATCTGCTCAGAATCTCATTATTTTCCTTCTTCATAAAAGGGGCAGAAACAAAATGGACACTTAATAAGAAGACTAATTTATAAAACATTTTCATGAGAAGAACAAAATATTACTAAAATTTACACAGCTTGAATACATAAAAGAAATTTAAAAAAAAAATTGAAGCACAAAGAATAACTTCATCAACCAAAAAACACGTGCAGCATGTATAATAGAGTGGAATTAAGGGCATCTCTAGGCAAATCAATATGCGCACTTATTTGTATAAAAGAAAAGAAAACAAAATAAGATTAAATTACCCCAGAGAGTTTTTACATGCCTAAAATGACATTCAAAGCTATAAATGTTCCAGGAATAAGAAGCACGATTCAAAAAGAAATATTCCGCATAGCAAACCAGATGTAATCGAAATATACAGAATCCAACAGTGAAACCCCGGTGGCTTCTCACTAAAAGGTCTCCTGGGTGACACATGACCGTTCCAAAAAGCTAGAGATGGAGCATGTCAAACAAGATCCATCAAACAGCCCAGAGTTCATATCAAAAGTTCGTGAGTCTTAAAAGCGTTATGTCACAATTACCTTCTTGAGTACCCTGCCTATCAATCCAGTATCTCAATTAAAGCTTTTGTCTTGTGTACTAGCAAAAGATTCTACTTACCATCGTACATCACTTTCTATGATGCCTAGGGGCCTATTTTACCCACCCTACCCATCACTTAAAATGACTCCATCATGGCCAAGAGCGCAATCATAGTGATGAAATGCAGCCTATTTACAAGAGAGAGTCACAGTGCATTAAAATACAACTTCCGACCAGTATTGAATATTGCAGCTACCCAAGAACGCATTAATCATATTATAAACTTAGATGCAGACAAAACAGCACAGATCAATTGATTATCTGGTCCCGTTAAAAACTGACCAGTAATTGAACCATCCTCGGACGATTGAGCAGTGGCTTTATTGATTTCCAGGTTAATCCCTGGTTCTTTAACATCCCTTATATGCTCTCCAGTCACCGGACTAGATCCGCTTTCAGGAAATTCCGCGATAGCATCCGTAAAAACATCATCTTCTGATCTATTCGATCTGCTCCCTACTCCACCAGTACCCCTCTCGTTAATACCTCTCTCCAAACCTTTGGGACCTTGCAAAGCCAAATTAACAAATATTGGTCAAGGAAAAAAATGCAGTGTTTCTCTCAATCAGAGACCAAGTACAAATATTTATTTCAGCTTATCCTTAAGCAGTCCAAGGTTCCCAAAATCTAGCATCCAGAACGGTAAATTCATTCTCTTTCCACATTTTATAAGCGATAAAAAAACATAATTCCATAACAAGAGTTCTCACTAGGGGTTTTAGGATCTTCATCAGAACCACGGTCATCGTCAGAAAGGGCCGAGAGTGGAGTCTCCTCAGAGTCAACAAACTTGTATCCTTCAAGAGTCCCACAGATCTTCTTGTGTGCACGCCTGTGTCTTGCACTTGGATGTGGGTTTGGAAAGGGCCACCCACATTTGTGACAGACATAAACTCCATGGCTCTCATGCCCTGCGAAATTCAAGAAAAAACCAAGATAATTTCATACACACAGAAAACATAAAGAACGTGAATTTCCACAGAATGTGAATAAAAAACACGGCCCGTAAATCTTTTACCTTCGAAGAAACTGAAAAAAGAAAAAACACCAAAAAGAAAAGAATAAAAGATTTCGAACAAACATATTCTATTTATCAGTACCCAAAAAAAACCATCAGCTGAAAAAATAGAAGAAGAAGAAGAAGCAAGAGGGTGGAATTAAGAAACAAACCTGGTGTGTGCGTAGGGTTCTTTCTGGGATCTTGGTTATCCATCTTCCAAGAGCTGGAGAAAGAGAGAGTGTAAGTCTGCGTTGACTGGAAGGAGAAAGAAAAACAGAAGACTGCACTGAGCAATAGCACAGATTTTAATTAACAGTGAAGAAATGTGTGTCTTTTTTGGGCTTAGAGATGAAGGGCAAAAAAAAATAGTCTTGGGTCTACCATGCAGTACGGAACACAGTGAGAGACCGTGACGACATGATTAACGGCACATGCCCCGGCCATCCTACCCTCTGTCATCTGGGGGTGGACACCATGGGCCTTTTTGTAAATGTCAAGGGTAATATTTCTGATGAAAATGCAACTAATGTTCCATCACTGATTTTATTAATTAAATCTTAACCATTTAGGTGATGGCATAAAAATTTGGGATCAAGAATTTTGTTTTTTTTGTAATTTTAGATTTGAGTTCTTAATTATTTATATGATGGTCACTAGAAACTTACATGGTCGTTAATTTTAGGGCCCATAAAATTAGTCGTGGTGCGCGCAAACTGGCCTAGACACCCACGTTAATCTAAAAAATTAAATCTTATCTATAAACTATTTTAGATCAAGAAACATGCGATATTTTTTCTCCCGATATTTGGAGTTATTTTCTGTATTAATTGAGATTAATTGTTGTCTTCATAGTTTTAAAGATGATTTTTCACATTAAGTGTATCTAATAAATTGTATTAACCCAAGATTCGAGTTTAGTAATAATAATAATAATAACAGACGTGCTTGATCACAGATGTCCATCCCACTTCTCACTCTTGTTTACGTAGAAGATGATCATATACATCAAAACTAACGCATTCAACAAAATTAAATTAACAAAAACACTAAAATACAAATTCTGCCCTTGGAATCCAGGAAAAGAATATGGGTCTAGCGCTTTTTCTTGGTTTTTTTCGTTATTTCAATGGCCATCGGGAGTGAATTAATTAATTTTAAATTTGGAAGTTGCTGGAGCGCCAGGGAGCGGGAATGTTCGTGCTTTTTGGACGGGAAGGGCGGTGTTTCCGGTGGACGGCCATTCAGTTATGCGGTGAAAGTATCGTTGCGTCCTCTCCTTCCCGGTGTGCCTTTTTGCTTCTTCTTTTTTTCTGATTTCATTTTTGGATTTTATTTTAATATTATAACACGGGTTGACTTGTTTCTTGCTACCCAGATTAAAAAACATCACACTACTACAGATTAATTCAGCCAAAAACAATTTTTTTAATTTCATGCTTCCAAATATTTGTTTCCAGGTTATTAAGGACTTTATTTTTCAACAAAATTATTTATTTACAATTATTATCTATTTTTTTAACACTTAATTAAAATAAAATTAACTGAATAAGTTTATTCAGTGCCTTAACCTAAGTTGTTTGTTTTTCTTGTTTTTTTAAAACGTGTTTATGACACATTAATTTATATTTTCATTAATATTCCTCCTTTATTATTTAATATTTTACTATTTAGCTTTTTCAATAGAAGCTTTAATTAGAATAATATATTTTTTTAATAAATAAAAATATTTATTTTTACATGCTATTTTTAATATGTATCGTTTGGCACAAGTTTTTTTTCTTTTTATCTTTTAGTCAATTTCATGTTAAATCTATTTTTATTATTATTTGACTGAATACAAAATAATATTGATAAATAAATTTAACAAGTATAATTGAGTTAATTTTTCATGTTATAAGATTAAGTATTTTAATTTATATTTATCTCTTGAATTTTTCAATTTAATTTTTAGTTATTGTTTGTTACTTTTTTTTCATTTATTTTCATAAATATTTTTTAGTTTATTGTGATTGTTTATGCCAAAGAATCATAAAAAAACTTGTATATTTATTTTAAAAAAAAATACATGATAAGCAATAAAATACAGATCAAATAACTATTTATAAATTACCCGATGTTGTCTTTGCAAAAATTAAAACCCTACTGGTTCTATACTCAGCACTCCATTGTGGGGTGTTATATTTAATCTCGTTAATTATATTTAATAATTATATTTCTTATAATATTTTTTGATTGAAGAAGAAACACCTATGCCAATAAAAAGATATTAAAAAAAGAGTCATAAATCAATGCCGAGTGTGAACCGGGAAAAAAAACGCTAATTAAAAAAACAGTGAAAAAAAAAGACTCAGGTGAGTCTATGTAAAACTTGGCCGACTATTTCTTTTTTTTATTAATATTTTATATTTGCAAAAAAACTAAATTACCTTACAAGTCAGCACGATCATATCAAAAATGAAATTGAAAAGGTGAAAACACTCATTGGAATAAAGTTTTATTTTTGTTTTTTCCCAGGCAGTTTGTTGTTTTAATTGTGCCTAGAAAATAAAAATATTTAAAATATCCTGGAATGAAAGTTAATGTTTTTTATAATACCAATTAAAATATTATTTATTGTCACCGTACTTTCTCCGCATGATTCAGTTTTTTTTTTAATTAAAATTAAAGTGATGACAGGTACATTGATCTCTCCTTGACTTGGTTTCCACGACTCCTGTGCAGTTGAAAAGTCAGTTACGCCTGTAACTCCTTGCCTGAGGACTCCATTTACCTGCCCTGATTTGATCTGGACTACTTGTTTATAAATGACGTGGGCCAGCCAACGATACAACAACAAGTGGCTTGTTGGCAACGATCACGACAAAGATTGGAATCTTAGATCGACGGACGAGACCACGGTGACGAACCAAGTCAAGATTATTATTGGTGGCGGTGGGATCGCCTGTGCCGTCTCTTGTTCTGCTGGAGGGTGGGTGGTGGGGATGTCGTTAGGCCAGATCTTGTTCTTTTCTGGAGGGTTCTTTTAGTGGATCTAGATCAGCAGTCCAATCAATCACGCTGCAACACTTTTAAAATATGGATTCTATTCGTTCTAAACAATAACAAATAAATAGCAGTTAAAAATAACCATAATTAAAAAAATAAAAATAAAGAGACAAATCTAGATTTTGATTTACCCAACATGAATTTCAAGGAAAAAAAAAAGGGAGGAGAATATAATTTCACCGCCGACCAACCGCCGCGAATTTCATTAGATGTATAACTCACTATATATTTCAGACAATACAACGGTTGTGTTTCTAAGATGTAATCCATTTGACATGAAGGAGACATGTATCGTCCACCCACTGGGATTCATGTACCATCTACTATTTATTTATTTATTTTTATATGTTAGAATATTGATTTGTTATTCATGTATTTATTAGAAAAGTCAGCTACAAACTTCGAACAAAAATATTTTTTGCTCTTTAAAAAAACATAAGAATATCTAGATAAAACTAGAAAATAAAAAAATTATAAATAAAAAACCATAATAAAAAAATCAAAATGCTCCTTAACTTGTTTTTTTAGTTTGGTTTGCTTGAATGGTCGTGAAGTGATATTATTATTTTCTAAAAGCCTCCTCAAGCATTTATTTTATTTTAAGAGCATTTATATGATTTAATTACTTTCGTTATTTTTTTATCAAGTAAATTAAATCTAAAAAATCAAGTACAAAAATTAATCGAACTAATTTAATACATGGTAAAAAAACAGTATCTTAAAATTTCAATGTCGTGTGATGGTTGATTTGGGTATTTTTTTAAAAAATTGTGTTTGGATGCATTACAAGTTAAGGATGAGGATTGAAGAAGAGGATTAGGTGATAACAACTGGGAGGTGAATTCAGAAACAATTTCATACTCGTCATGATTGCACAGGGGAATTGACGTGTGAAGATTGTTAACTAGTAAAAAGTTAGTTGCAATTAATTAGTTTATTATTAGAGTGTGATTGTTGTTATATTTTAAATTGTTTTTTATTTAGAAATATATTAAAATAATTGAAAAATTGAAAAATATTAATTTAAAAAAAAAATCAATTTTTTAAATATTTTTTAAAACACAAAAATAAGTAAAATATCGGCTAGAGAGGTTAGGGAGCTGGAATCACTGTATACAAACCATTGTATAGCAAGCTTATAATCCAAGCAATAACATCGAATCAATTTAATAGGTTTTTTTTTTAAAAAAAAAAAGAATGGTCAAAGAACATTGTGAATAGAGATGTTTGATGTAAAAAGCAGCATCCTTAAATTTTAATATATATTAATTAATATAAAATATTAATACAATTTAAATAAATTATGAATGAATGATAAATTGATTTTAAATAACCTTTAAATAACATATTTTAATGAAACTTGGAATTTTACGAGAAAATTTAGCCATATTAAAAATAAAAATAAAATATTTATAATATCTATATATGGAGGAGTTAAGACTAAACTTAAGGAACATCTAAGCTTTTAAATGTTTAAATGGGAGATGCCAAGCAAGCAAAGTAAGTTGCTCGATTAGTGCTCGGTTGGGTATGAGTTTGAATTCATTATAAATTATTTTTTAAACTATACAATATTATTTTTGACTAATTTAAATTTATGCTTGGATTTGGTGCAAAAAAATTATTATTCAAGCCCAACCCACTATTTTTTATTGAACTCGTTGAAGTAAAAATCTAGTAAGTTTTTTCAATATTTTTTCAACCCAAAAGACATTTTGTTATAACCACAACGTTAAAATTTTATTATGTATTTATTGTAGTTAGTCAAGAGTTTGTAATGTGAAAATTAATATTGGTTAATACCATAGTTAATTCTTTAAATTTTTTAATTTTTAAAATCAACTATAAAAAAAAATGGTGAATGAAAAGTTCAAACCAAGGTTTCTCTTGATTTCACGTACTCTTATTTACCTTGAATTTTAGTTTTTGTCTCCTCATTCTTCAAGCTTATGTGTTCCCTTCAAATATAGAGCTTAAGTATATTTTTATGATATATTATTAAGCTCGTCTGAAATATTATTGTTGGAATTTTGTGAGATTTATTATAAATAACCTTTACATTAAGATTAAGATTAGATCAATAAAATTTTAAAAACAATGATTTATAATTTACAACAATAAAAACACCATTATTTAACATATTTTAACAAGTAAATATGTTTTTTTATTTTGATTTAAATACACGCGTGCATATAAATATCATTTGATTAATATATATGTCATGATTTTATTTTGATATTAATCTCATGTTTATTTATACAGGAATTATTTAGAAATATAATTATGGTTATTTTTCACTTAGAAGTATATTAAAATAATATTTTTTTATTTTTTAAAAATTATTTTTAATACCAGTGTATTAAAAT